TTTCACACCTTGCGGTTCTCTCGCCTTCCTTCCACTTGGGAATTGAGGTAACTGAAAACCAATGTCAGAGTGTGACTCGCTCAGTCGTCCCACTTGGGTGCTGGGTGTGATCCTCCGCAAGGAGGCGCCGTTTTAACTGATTCCACCGTCTCCTCAGTACTTTGGATTCTCTTAACTGATTTGGCTTCACCATTGTATTCCCTGCAACTTACGCTGCCGGGCTTCACGGAATGTCCACATCCGCTATCTAGGGTAATAGAAGGAAACGGTACTCGACACACTTGTGTGCCGGTACCTTTCCTTCTGTTTCTCCTTTTCTACTCCTAGCTACCCGGGCGGTTTAAGACGTATGTCCCGCTCGCTAACTAGTGCATTTAATTCACGCGGCTAAGTAGTCAGTAACTAGCAGGTTTCGTAACTAGTGGGCCTTGTCACTACACCTATCTTTCTCTCTTCCCTTTGCGTTTTCCTTTCTGTCTTTCTTTTCTTTCTTTCTAAGGCTTTTTAGGTGATTAGTAAGTTCCTCCAGAGCGCCGATATCAGCGTTCTGTGTGTGTCCAAAGTCGCAGGGGGCAGGAGTGATCAGTCTGGCGTACCTGCGACTATTTTGAACTTTTGCCCACGCTGTTCCAATCTCTCTTGTTTGCTTCCATGGTGGTTCCAGGATACTTCCCCTGAACCTTTTCCCTTCCGCCGTTTTCAGCCGCTCGTGAGCTGCCGTTGCGATTCTGCAGATGCGCATGAACCATTTGTTGAAACACCTACAAGTTCTTGGACCTTTCACACCTTGCGGTTCTCTCGCCTTCCTTCCACTTGGGAATTGAGTTTGTAACTGACAACCAATGTCAGAGTGTCAACCACCAGGAACAATTGGATCAGCACAACAATGCAGCAGATTGCAAAGAGCTTCAAGTTTCAGAAAGGGTTGAAGAGTTGTTCCATCGATATTTCAGAGCGACGGGGCGACGGGGACTCTGCGTGTGGCTGTCGCCAACAAATAGCTCCGGACGCAGTTGACCAGGTTCACCCTGGATGTCAACGGCTTCAACTGTTAATCAAGCTGTCTATTACGATGTTGCCTCAAACAGCCGGATAGATGAGCCTTTCAACTGTCGGACTATCCTAGATAGATCGATGCAGGACGGGCGCTTTTGTAACGAGTTGGAGATGCGCAGAAGGACTATGACATACTATGACTATGAGCAGTGTGAGGTTGAAATAGACCAGCTCGGAATATGGCACTTGAAATAGACTTGAGCTGCTAATGAGTGCGGGCAATGGACTCATTGAGCGTTGCGCTACTTTTCGAGGCAACACCTGCGTGTCTGTGTGTGTGTCTGTTGTGTGCTTTCTGTTGCATGCGTCCGATTTATAAAGCATCTGCGGTCCAGTTGATGGCGTCGTTGGGCGGGCACACATAAGTGCCCCACGGCAGGCTGGGTCCCCAGGCGGCGGCAGGGGCTGAATGCTGCGATCGTTCGAGACGATCATCTGAGCACAATGGGGGACGACCTAAAAAGGAAACCTTCAAGGGAAGGTTGTATTTGGCATGCTTTTGCTAGAAGAAACTACCACTATGTCCCAGGGTCGTGAAAACAATGCTCTTCTGCCTTCAGTGCCTTCCAGCTGCTTTGCAAGCTAAGCGGATTTGATGGCCGGCGCGCCTCTGCTAGGGGATTGACCTTCTGCAATATCTGGATTGGGTGGTTCACCTGCAAGGCATCACACCCGATTTCCGACGTCTTCGACCAGTGGACCCGAACAGTGGACCTCGTCTTGGACGGTAGGCTCCAAAGGTCCGAACACGAAGGATCCCCTCGGTGCTTCCTCCCACCGGAGCCTCATCCTCTCCAAGTTGCTCAGCCTGGCGAATCAGGTCGCCTCTGGGTATGTCGTATGTAGCGTCTCTTCTATGGCAAGAACGCACTTCCCGGAAAAGCCTTCAAGCAGCCTTTTGGGGAAGATCTGAACGATGTTTAAATCGGAGAGATAGGCTTCCGCGGCAAGTTTGTCAGCTCGGCTCGTCTACGTTTGGAGTTTGGTTTCCACAGCCTCTCTGTTTCAAGCACTGCAACCCACCACCAATCACAACCTCCGAAGGAATCGCGCTCCTGCCTTTGGGAGTGTTTCCAAGTCAGTTCCGCAAACCAATGGTATTTCAGGGTCACCTTAGACCTTGAGAAAAGCCAACCAAACAACTCCTTGCGCCCAACCAGGAGAAAAAGGTCACGACCGGTTTTTTCCTTAGCGGCTTGGGCAGTGATTAGAGTAAGGGTAATTACATGAATGAACCGTTTCTGCTTTGATTTTCGTCCGCAGCCCCACTTGAGGCTTTCCACCCACCACCCTGGCTGGCGTACCTTGCTGAGAATTAGCTGATCTGCAAAAGCCACCTCATAAAGCGTGGAAAGCGGACACCTACTTCGCAGTGGGAGTGCCTGGCCTGGAATCATCTCATAACTTTGATCCAGACCCAGACAATACATCACAATCTACTGGGGCAGGATTGGGGGTGACCTGTAGAAAACTCGGTCAGTTCTATCTCCCTTATCACGAAAACACTACAACCTAGTATAATTCAAGATTGATATTGGCTGACAAATAGCAGGCCACCCAAAACGCAGGCGAATATGTATGTTGTGTGGGTCTCTGAGTCGGATCTTTTCAGCCACATCCATGTTGACCAGGTCACGACGTCCTGCCGTGTGTCACTGTCACTGTCAAGTTTCTGGGTGGGGCAGGACCCGTGTGTCACTGTCACATGTCATCGGCTTCCGCTAGAAGATCCTAGAGGGGAGCCCTGAAAATCCACATGGCCTATCAACCTATATGGCTATAGGTCAAAACCGGGACCTTGCTTGGCCGCCATTGAACCAATTCCATCAGATTCCTTTATTTAAGTCGACCTTCGATGGTTTGTATAAGGTACTGTGCTTTGACCTACAGCCTCCTATCTCCCCCTCCACCAAGTCGGTCCCACCTGCCGCCAAAAGGTCCGCAGCGCCGCGGAGCGTCCCGGGCCGGGGACTGCGGCACGCGGCATGGACGCCTCGCGGGTGAGAACCGCTGCGAAGCTTGGCAGCTTGGAGGTGACTGAACATCGGTTTCTGGGAATGGGATGTCAACTACTCCATTTGCTTCTCTTGTTGGGGTCCCTTATCTCCAACCACTATGTTGGAGGTCTAGACTCTAGACTCGTCAAATGTGGTCCAACATGCCCGGACCAGTTGGCAGTGGCTCAAAACAGGGGGATCCTGGTTGATCCTTGAAAATGAATAGATCCCTTTATGACTGACCCCCTCAGTTTTCCCTCAGAGAAAAGGTTAACCTGTTTCCACCTAGTCTTGTTTAGTGGGGTAAAGGTTATCCACTGACTGGGTAGGATGAGGGACGTCAACCTCCCATGGTTTGGTGGGAGAAGTTCGACCCTCTCAAAGGAAACGGACATGGTGACCAGACAAGGAACGCGGCAGCACTCCACATTCCATACAGCACAGAGTGCTGAAGAATCCGAATGGTCGTTGGTGTCAGTCCTGAATTCGAGGAGTTCTGCACTCAGTGAAGTTCCACAGAAAATGTCATGGAATGCACGTGCAGACATGATTTTCGCGTGCATCCGGTGGAGTGGCTGATCTCCAATTCCCCTTGAAACATCTGGAAGGTCGGAAAAGATTGGGATTGAACTACGGTAGGGAGACCCCCCCCAGCCAGACCATATCCAGACCCCTAGGAAGAGCACCAATCGACTGAAACTCTTTTCGGAGTCTCCCCAAAACAGAAAGTAATTACTCCAATGGATAGGGGATGTTTCCTGAGGATGATAGAGGACAGGTCTTCCAAAACACCATGGTTGCATTGGAAAGCTTGGTTTTGGTGTTCTTTCCTCCTCGTGCCCGATCTGCACCCCCCTCACGGTCCATGAGGCCATGGCGGCCATGTCCAGTGATGCAGAGGTGCCAAAGCCACTCGACCTGGTCGAACTCCAGAACACATCGGTACCACCGGGGTGTTTGGTCTCTAGGTCTCTGCGCCCAACTCTACAGGTCTGAGTGTTGGACCCCTTGGTGAAGAGGTCTCTTGAAGGGACTTGTAAGCTAGGCTGCTTGCGAAACTGGAGCAAAACTGTGCCTTGTTTGAAGCACATCGCTGCTGAGGACAGTATCACATGCCGGAAGTGTTGTTTTGTCTGACGTGAAGAACCGTCCAGGGCGCTGACCATGAGTGCAGAGGTCCCTCGCAAGGCCCTGCATCCAGGTGAGGATCATAAAGCACACGCCTCCCCTATTGTCTCACTAGGATCTTCAGGGTGCAGGGTGGAATGAGGAGATTTCAGCAAATTCTTCTGATTGAAATCGCGAGTCCAAAGACAACTGACAAAGGCACCCAGAAGAGCAACAACGGAGCAGCAGGCCTGGCGCCCTTTTGACAAAGCAGTTCACTGTTGTGCACGGCCCATACACAGTTTCATGATGCATGGGAGCAGCCCTACCTGGCTTGCTAAAGTCAGATCCACTCTCAGTTCCTTCTTGGCTCCCAGCAAAAGGTCGTACCTCAAGATCCCGCGAAGACTGCAAGAAATATAGATACTTCCACAACTTTCGACAAGCATCTAAATACCTTCAAGCCAAGATACTCTCAAAAGTTTCAAGGTGACATGCTGCAAACCTAAGGACCAATGCTGCTCATGCTTGGGCATCGATCTTGTTCCATACTCCACTGGGGAGGGCATCGAACTTGTCCGCATAGTAGTCCATCTTGAAAAGACGAGCACGAAGGTCATTGCACTTCTTGCTGGCGTCATTGATGTTGTCGATCCTCAGATTGTTCTAATGACCTTAATGAGATGAGTCCCATTCTTGAGCAAAATGTAGAGCCTCCAAATGATCTTCAAATAATCTTTGCTCAAATGCCCCTGAGCAAAATGTGCAGCACGTGAGTGATGATGGCATAGTAATGCAAAGCAGAGTTTGCTGGACCATTTTCAACAAACAGTTGCATGTGGTACAACCCGGTAAACTCCTAATGCATCAGGTGCCCAAAGTGGCCTGTTCAAAGAGGCTGGCTTTTTGGGGCCGTCGCCCCATTCGGCAGCTGGGGGTGGGAGGTTCTGAGGCAGTTTTTCACAACGAATCTCCAAGTGTCAAAGACTGATAATCGGCCTGCAGCTGCTGCGCATATTTGTTGTCATACTTGCGATCCTCAGCCTTCAGGTGCATGGTCAGGGTGTTGTTCAGATCCAGCACTGGGTTGCCTCAGTCGCTACGCTTCTGCGCGAGGCGGGCGTCGCCTTTGGTCCACGAGGAAGTCGTTCAGACCAGACCCAATGATTCCGTTCGCAAAACCAGCGCAAGACCGCGTGACCCAGCTTGCGAATCCCGTCCGCACCGTTCACTGTGCAAGTCCCAATTCCGAACGAAAAGCCTTCACACCAAAGGATCCCTCGACCGTTTTTTCAAGGCCATTGACTGCGAGGGATCGCGGTGGAGGCAGACTGTGATGTGTGGTGCAAACTGCGTATGTTGATGCAGACTTGCTAATGCTGGACATCGATCACTCCTTCCCCATCCAGAGACTGGCACGTCTACACTGACTAAGCAGTTGACCTTCTAAACCAGAAACGGAGTTTCTCAAGTATAAGTCTTGGGACCAAGCCCAACTGAAAGATAGTTGACACACCAAATGTCCATCAAAGTTCGTGAGTTGTAAATTTGCCTGTTTCAGGCATCATGCGTCCCTCGGCCCGAAACAGTGGAAAAAGGCGGCCGCATGTTTGGGATCAAAACGTTAAAACCGCCACCCGGTCAGGACGGCATTCATCCGGTGGAAATCCATGCACAAACCAAAGGAATGGCCGGATGCGCAGGTGGACCAGCGGCCCCTCTTTTATTGGAAACGTAGAGATGAGTGGCTGCGTGCACTAGGATGGTTTGCTAAGCTGATAGATTGCTGCTGCTGCCCACGTTGGCAACTGAGGAGTCAGAGACCACTATCACCCCTCAAAAATGGAAAAGGATCCACCACATGAATGATCGGGACCATTCCATGAAAATGCCATAAAACATCGCAAAAACTGCCCTGGTTTCGCCGCTTTCCATGATTTCAATGGTCCCAACTGGTACTTCTAGCAGCCCCACTGGTCCTCACTCTGCCAGACGTGGGAGAGAAGCTTCAAAGGTCGGATGGCACAACTTGAGAGTTCGCATACGTGAATGGTCATCTACAACTGCAAAGGGATGGGGCTAGCAACAATTTGTTCTTTGCATACCATACATAGCACGCCCCATCACACGCCTCATGTAACTCATGTATCTAATTTGACTGTTGATGATCAAACTAGATTTCACTAGGCTCCAGCCGTGCCTCCGCTCTTCGCTTCGTTTCACTGACCTCGTGCCCCCATCCGTATGTCACCTGCCATCCCTCTCCCGTGCCCTTCGCGTCTCGCCCTCCGTCGACCCCCCTCCGGAGCGAACGCCCCGGCCATCTGGGCACCAAGTGACTGGGCGCCTTCTCCGGGAAGGGGAAGGTGCCATTGGCACGCCAGCGCTCAGGGTGCTCGCCATGAGGACCATAGGGCGAAGAGGTGATGGTGTTGCCTCAGATGGAGGATCAAGAAAGGACGGATCGAAGCAGGCAGAATGAGTCAAAGAGAAGCAGTTGGAGGTTTAATATGTGTGTGTGTGTGATTGTGTATATATATATATAAAGGTTTCCTTAAATGCATAGACTTTTAATGGAGGAAGAAGACACTCATGCCATTGCGTTCTAGTGGCCCCGCCAGGCCAGCCAAGTTAAAAGAAAATCATAGAAAATCGAACAAACAGTTGGAGTCGGAGCATTTATATAATCTTTAGATATCATTCGATGGTTCTCCTCAGTTTTCCAGGTGCCTTTCCATGGCATCTCTTATTCGGATGACTCGATGGCGCCACAAGCAGCCTTTTCAATGCTCCTCTTCAAATTGGTCAGTCCCCAGCTCAGTGTGTCAGAGGTTGAGTCTTCTGTCAATGCTTCGTTCACAAGGCGGGTAGAAGGTCAGCCCTAAGCTCTACTCAACTGGCGAGCGATGTGCCTTTCTGTCTTTACAACGTCATGCCATGGAGACTTGCGCTCATTTGCTTCAGATAAGCCACCCACACCCCAGCGCTTACGGTCGACAATGGTGTTCAGGTTCCAAACAGCATCCATCTCCTTGTTCAAGTAGATCAGGATCTTGTTGATGTATCCTCAAATCACACAGAATCTTCTGGGTCTGGAGGTTAAAGTTTTTCACTCAACGCACATGCAGCAGTTCTCATGGTGATCGCCCCACTG